GCACGTGCCCACCCAGGCCACCCCCTAGGTCCGCCCCTGGCACGTATCTAATTTTGAGTCTTGACAGTGGTGGCATAAATCTAGTGGTGATGGTGGTGAAAATAAGTGGCGGCAATTTTGGTGGTTGTAGTGGTGAAAGAACCTTTGTCCGGTTTAAGAGAGCTAACATTATTATTGACGTCTGATTTGACTATTGGTGGTGGTTATTGGTTTTGTCACTGGACGTGGAGGCGGTAGTAGGGTAACATGGGATCTTACAGGTAGTTGCATGCACGGTGGAGGCAGTAATGTAACAAACAATGTATGTTAAAAGTGGTCATGGCGAGATGTTGAGTATTATAAAGGTAACATAATTTGTTATAATTAGTGGTGATAGTGGTGGTGGAGTGAGCAAATTGTAACAATGTAACACATTGTGTTACACAATGTATAGAAAATAATATTCTGAGAATTATTTTTTTAAAAAAAGTTTAAAAGTAAATTAAGAATTAATAAACTTTTCTTAGCTTGTGTTTGTCTACCATTATTACAAAAAATTATTTGCTACGGTAAACTTCTCCACCACACATTCATACAATAATATATTCTACACACAAATCAATAAAATTACTTTAAATTTCAACCACACATTTTTCAAAAAATACTATTTATTACTCTATTTTTCTCCCAATAATGAGAGACAAACACACCCTTAGTGTATTTGTGAACTCTTCGTCCATAAAAAATGAGGGGGGGTGTTCTCTTTGACCGTTTTGGGTCGTTTTCTGTTTTTCAAAATAGTGAAAACGCGTTCTCTTTCCTATTTTCGAAAACGTATTTTTGAAAACGAAAAAAAATTTGTACACAAAACGGTCGTTTTCAGTGTTTTCAAGCCAAAAACTCGAAAATGTGGAAAACGCGGAAAACACCCGTGAAAACTGAAAATTAGAAAAATCAGTCCAAAGAACCTCGCCTCACTCCGTCTCCTCCCATCATTCTACCACCAATTGGAAGAATCAGTAGAAACAACCTTGTCTCACCGTCGGATTCCACCACCAACAACCTCGCATCACTCCCCTCTATCACCTCCAACCCTGCAATGTTAAGATATCATCTCAAAAGAATGACAGTCACGCAATCTGCGCAACAGGGTCCGAGTTTTGAAAATTTCGGCGCCGTAAGGCCTTCCCAAGATAGCGGACAACATGGGT